GACCTTTCCATGAGCTGAAGAGAGTGATGAGTTTCCACCCCATCGTCCCCCTGCCAGGGCAAAAAATAAGATGAACCAGAGGGAGCTGCTTGTTAAGCACCGGTGGCAGCTGAGGATAAAGGGAGGTGTCAGTTCAGGAGGTGTCTATGGGGGGATGTGGGATCCTTAATGATGGGGGGAAGCAGGGATGGTGCAGGATGAAATTTGCTGGTTGGGTCGGGGAAGGACATGTAACAGACGGCTGAGTGACCAAGGTGACCTGTCACGTCTCCTTGCCCTGCAATTTGATGATTAAACCAACCTGCTGCCAACAGGCTTCAAAGCCTCATCCTGCTGGGTGCCACGGGCCAGTCCCACACTTGGCACAGTGCAACCCAGGGCTGGAAACACTCACGAGGCTTTTTATTAAGCTTTAGGCTTGGCCACTGACACCTATGTCACCTTTTCTCCTTCCATGCCCCTGTGTCTTTACTAAAGCAGGTCCTGGCTGGGAATATCCCCCCCTGGGGTGCACATCCTCCCCCATGCCAGGGACAAAGCAGATCCCTGTGCCCACAGCTCTCCCATGCTCTTGGCTGCAGCTGGTTTGCACCAGGACGGTAATTTTTAACTGTATTTTAGCATAAATCCTTGTCTGAATTAAATGTCAGCACCACCCAGCTCCACCTCCCTCTTCACGCTGCCTTTCTCCCCAGCTCCTGTGTAGGATGCTGTCAAGTGTTTCAAGTTGATTAGGAGAAGAAGACATGGAAACTAAACTGGGATGAATAAATGCTGTGCTGTCACCACCAGCAGCTGTTCCTGTGGATGGGTGGCCCTGCTGCCCCCACCTCTCCACGCTGATCCCATCACACTCTGCCCCAGGGACAGCAGCCAAAGCTCCATCTGCCAGTGGCCACTTGCATGAGCACAGGAGACTTTGCAGCACCTTTGGTCACTGCTGCAGGACAGGGAGATGCCAGGAACTGGGAAGGCACGGGGTGACCAACACTGTCCCCTCTGTGGCGCTGGCACCCTGCTGGTCCCCAGCCTGTGGATCAGCACCTCCCCCAACAGCACTGTCGGAGAGGGATGGAGATTTCCAGGGCACAAACGCCGTGGTCGTGTCATTTTTCACACAATTAAATATAAAGCGGCCCAAGTGCAGCTCATATTTCAGGGTTAATGTTGCTGCCAAATATTATCACGGCAGCGCCGCTTGTAAAACAAAAGCGATCGATGAGGTCCCGTCTCCAGGAGAGCAGCTCCAGCTCAGCGTGATCCCCGTGCACCAGACATGCTCCTTGTGCACCAGAACATCCCAGGGAACTTCTAGGGTTTATTTTCCCTTTTACTGGGTTTTTAGTTCAACAATGCTTTGCTTCGTGCTTCTGTTTCCTCATGGAATCCCAGGACAATTTAAGTTGGAAGGGATCTTAAAACTCATCCCATTCCACTCCCTGCCATGGACAGGGACATATTCCACTAGACCAGATTGCTCCAAGCCCTGTCCCACCTGGCCTTGGACACTTCCAGGGCTGGAAGGAGTCTATTCTCCAGGGATATAACCCACCTTGACCTATCATCCTCTGGCCTCGCAGGATACTTTTTCCCTTATGCAGGTTTTCATGCCCAGTTTTCCTGCCTGGCTGTCTCCAAAGGCTTTTATTCTCTGAAAACTTTCCAGCCACTTGATCACAGCCAGTTTGCAAGTCTGGGCTATTAAATACACCCTGAGAGCAGTGGCTGGGGTTGAAAGCTGTGTGAGCTCCAGCAAGGTGAGAGCTCAAGAACACTCATCCTTGGGGAGAGCTTTGGAGATAAGGCACAGACTGAATTCAGCCCCTGGAGATTCCACCTGCCTCCCACAAAGGAGTAGGAGTAGGAGTCACAGGGAGCTGAATAATTTAGATTTTAAAAGGAAAATGCTCTTTGTCTTCAGGCTGAATAAAACCCTGATTTGCTGAGACTCTTGAGATCTTGGCTGTAACACTCAGGGTTTCCATGACAAGGCTCTTATCAGGTAGATACCCATCAGCTCTGCAGCTCTGCCTGGCTGGCCCTTAATTAATAATGCTGACCCTCATCAGGCAACAAAGAGGAGTGATAGAGACACCTACAAATTTCTCAGGCTTCTTCCCTCTCAAATTCAGCCCATCCTGGCTACAAACAACCTGAAGGCTTCTCAATAGCAATTCCCTTTCACACAACTGTAAATTTATTTTTTTTGTTCCTTTTTATCTGCCACTGCTTTTATTTTCCAGTTTGACCAGATCAAGGCGAGTCTTTTTGCTTGGACAGTTTTTGAAAGGAGACAGTTTGTGGGATTTTTTTTATAGTGCTGCCAGAAAACCTGAGAAATCAGATATCTCTAATGGATTCAGAGAGCTCTCAGATCTCTAAAAGCAGAAAACTGCAGTTTCCATCTCGACTCCAGCTGCTTAATTCAGGTTTGGAGGCAGGAGCCGACCTCCCGCTGCCTGATCTTCCCAGTTCACCTGCTCCCTGCCCATGACCCTCATTGAGGGTCATTGATTCATCGCCCAGCACCCCCAAAATGTCCCCAAAAGGTGCCTCCCCGTGCAGAAACGAGACAACCCAAACCTCAGCTTCCCCCAGGCAGGTCTTTGTGGCCTCTCCAGACCCCACCACAGACCTTCACCTCTCCTAACTGGTTCTGCAGGAGCCCAGAGGAGTTTGTAGCCCCAGCTCTGCATCTGAGTGAAAGAACAACAGTTTATTTTAGGCTGAGGACCGACGAGATGAAAGCCATTGATCCGAGCTAGTAATTACATTGTTATCTGTGCCCTGTGAGATAAAGAGATTTTGAGCTGCTGGCTTTTGGAAAAGCCAGGCTTGAAAGCGGATAGAAAGGGGATTTATTTAGTTGAGCTCCTCTATTTTTTAAGTGAAATGTTAAATAGTAAAAGCTTGGGTTTTTTATTTTATTTTTTCCCCCAGAAGATGAAAAGCAGTGGAAGGTTTCTGTCCTGCTCAGTGAAGCAGGAGAACCTCAGTGATGCCCCAGGATCATGCAAGATGCTGTGAGAGATTCCTAACACGTTCTTTTAATGAAGGATACCCCAAGGAGGTAGACAAAAAACAGCACTAGGGGATTCTGGCATGGGCTGGGTCACTGGGTGCTGCCATGACCTCATGCAGCAACGTGCACCTTGGAGAGGAGCCATTTGGCCATGTTGTGTTTTGCATCTCCTGCTCCAGGGGCAAAGCAACACTTTGTCAGTGTCTTCATCCCAGTGCTTGCTCAACATTCCTGTAGCTTTTCCTCTCTGATTTTCCTGGCCCCTCTCCAAGATCAGCAAGGGACCTGCTTCCACGTCAGCTGCTTACTGCTGCTGTCACCCATATTTTACAGCCCTCTCAATGAAGAGCAAATCTATATTGATTTCAGAACTACCGGAGCTGTAAATTACTGGCCAGGACTGGCCTGGCCCGGACCAAGATGAGAATCTATTGATTGCACCAAAGGTCTAAATCTAATTAGCACACAAGGAAACTGGTGGGAACAGCAGAACAATTCACATGTTCTCAGGTGTAATTAAAACTGGAAACCCACCTACAAAAGCAGGAGAGGCAAAGAATGGTCCTGGTCAAGTGCGAATTGCAATCCAAGGGTTTCCTTTTCAGAGCAGCTGACAGGAAAATGGGGAAGGACAAATAACAATCGGGGGGACAATAAGAGAGGAGTCTCTCTTATTCCCATAAAATCCCTATTTCTCTATTTGAAAGCCTTTTCCATTCAGGACTTCACAACCAACCAAGCTGGTGCTCTGTCACCTGCAGTGGAACACAGCACAGGGAATATGGGGGATGATCATCCCAGTCTTCAGCTGGAGTTGGGTGGCCTCTCTAGTGGGACCTCTTGGGTGGGATTTCTTGGCTGAGAGCTCTTGGATGAGACCTGTCTGCTGGGAGTTTTTGGATAGGACCTCTCGCCTGAGACCTCTTGGATGGGACCTCCTTGCTGGGAGTTCTTGAATGGAACCTCTCAACTTGAACCTCTTGGCTGGGACTTCACCACTGGGACCTCTCCACTGGGATCTCTTCTCTGGCTACGTTCTGGGCAGCAGCAGAGAGGAAAAATCAGTGGGAAGAAGGCTGAAAAAAAGCTAATGAAAGGAATTTAAAGCTCAGCTTTAAGGTTGATAGACTTCCCTGGGAATACCCCTTAAGAGGACAAAGCCCCAAGTCTTCCCTGCCACCAGAGCTCTGGAAGAGAACAAGCTTTAGCAGCAGTGCAAGGGAGGGGTGAGGTTGGCCCCGAAGTTCTCAACATGCCTGGAAACAGCAGGATATTCTTCTGGCATCTCCTTCCCACTCCATCTTTGGAACTCCAGTGACATCTGCTGCTGTCTCTGGGCATCGCCACCAGCCCGGCCACCCGCCACCCCCCGGCTCGGCCTCACACTCCCCTTCTGGGCCACACGGAGGGTGCGATGTCACCAACCCAGGGTTGGGGCATCACCCTGTGGAGCTGCGTCCCAAGGGGCTTCCCCCGGCCCAGCGTGCCCATCCCTGGAAACTGAGCTTAAAAATGCCCACATAAAAACTGAAAATGGAGGAAATAATTGTTTGGGTTGTGCAGGTCCTGGTGGGATGTTCTTCTGCAGTGGAGCAACAGGAGCTGCAGCCAGAGGAGGGAAAGGCTCATGCTCTCAAACTGGGGAGGATGGTTTCTCATGGGATGGGTTTGCTCTCAGAGGGAGCATCAGAAGGAAGCCACCACCACCACAAACTTCAGAATTGTGACCTCTTCCCTCGTAGAAGAACCTGCACCCACCGTCCCAAACACAATATCCTAAACCCAATCCAATGTCCCACCACAAATTTCCACATGTGAACCCACGGGGTTCATATTCCCATAGGGAATGAAAGAAGCCAAAAACCACATTTATTTTTTTCTTTTCCAATAGTCTCACTTTATTAGATACCACATCAAGAGAGAATGTTGTGCTGCATGCAGCGGAAGACTGGAGTATTTCTAGTTCCTGTGTAACATTTTGTTTTTCTCTTAATAGTTGTAAACTGATATTTTGCTGTAAAATCACTGCATGCGACTTTGAATGCAAACAGCAGTAGAAGAGGCTTTTATTTTTATTTTTTTTGTTGTTGTTTTTCACCATTCCCAATCCAGATGTGCATGCTTTATTTACAACGAAAAGAAGTCATTCAGGGCAGAAATTACCATCAGAAAAACTGAGAAGAAGGTGGCAGAGACCAGGACCATGGTTTGCACAATACTGAGGAGATTGGCAAGTTGCACTTGATTTTTGTGAGTGTAAAAAGATGATTTGAGTATCCTTTGTTCAAAGGGAAAGCAGGCTGGACAGAGAATGGCAATACAGGATGGGGTAATGGCAACCTTAATTGAGTTGTTCTGCACATACAAAGGAGGTTGGGCTGCTGCAGGGCTGGGGGACACTGAGGAATTCCTTAAATAATGTTTTTTAAAGTTACCCATTTCCCCAGCATAGCTCTGGGCCCAACTACTGCTCTGAGATGAGCAGGGAAGGATAGGGCAGCACAGAATAATTGATCCTGGAGTCCAACCATCCCCCAGCTGAACCAGCTGGGCAGAGCAGTGAGATTTCAGCACAGGACAAAGAGGGAAACCATCCCAAAGAATAGGGTCATTTCAGTCTGGGTTGTGGACAGTATGGTTCAGAGATCTCATTCTTGCTGGCACAGAGTCAAGAACTCCATGAAAGAAGGGCAAAATTTTCAAGTATCCTCTTCCATTACACTCTGTACCATAGGATGAGTCTGGGGTGATGGAAGAGGTCTCCCAGCTCAGGCCGGACAAAGCAGAGGATGCACAGGGTGGTTTAGGTTGGTTTTCCCCACCTGGTGGTCCAAGGATGGGGAGCATGGGGGCTGTGGGAGGCAACACAGACCTCCTTGGATGTGTAGACCCTGGGCTGGGCTGGGGCAGGGTTGCTCTGCAGCAGCAGCATCACTCCACACATGGGGGTTCGCGTCACCCAGAGCTGGTGACATTACTTGGCACAGAGCTACAGGGACAGTCACAGAGTGTCAGCATTCAGAGGAAGTTCTGCTGGGGGAAAAAGACTATTTAAAGAAAATATCAAGAAAACAACTCATCCAACTCAAAGGAAAGAGCTGCCCAGGCCACAGGACAGCTCCCCAGTCGACTGCAGCAGCGGGTGCACGGGGAGTCATGGACTGAAAGGGTTGAGGTTTCATACAACATGCTCAGTGTGTAGCCCACTGACAATATATTCCATAGTGCTTATTGTGCTACTATCAACTATGCTTGAGGTTATCCAGAGCCAGCAAATGATACCAAACCTGACCAGCATCAGTCTGAGAATGTCTTTGCTCTCCTGCTATCGAGGACAGATTGAACAGCTCCAGGAGATAACTAAAGCGCAGGTTGAAGACAGTGGTTCTTGTGCAGAATCGGAAACAAAACAAAACAAAACCAAAACAACCAAAGTTTGGAAGACCTCTAAACATCCCAGCTAATTTCAGTAGTTGTGGTGTTTTGAAGCAATTCAAAGCAATAATCCTTGCACACAGCTACTTGGTGGGAAGTGCCATCTCCCTCAGCTTCCCTCCTGAGCATGGCACGGCAAACGCTCGGCAGCAGGAGGGGTGGTCTGAGGGGGCCCAGGGACTGCCCTCAGGGCTCAGTCACTACTACACAGCTCAGAGGTGAAGAGGAGGTAGTCACAACCTTGAAACACGGGTGGGCTCCTACAGCAACAGCGTGTGAGTTCCTCAGGCAAAAGGAACCACATGAACCAACCCAAACCTGCTTCCCTGCGAGCACAGAGCTCCCTATTCCTCATAACTGTTATTGTGTTATTGGTGGATCTTCTCAGCAAAGGATGTGCCACAATATTGCTCAAGTGGACCAAACCAGAAGTAAAGCTCAAGCAGGACTCGCAGGATTACATCAGTGACACAGGCTTTGGCCTAATCATGACAACACAGACACCAGGAGACGGTGACGACCCACACCAAAGCCAAAGAGCTTTTTCATTATTGCAACTGAGGTATCGATATCACAGAAGCAGAACAGGCCGATGCTCCAACACCAGCACTCCACACCCCAGTGCCTGACAGGAGCACGGCCGGACTGGTGGCTGCACATCCCACTGGGAGATACCAGAGCCACAAGCCAGTGGCAATGGGATGAGCCAGAGGAGCAGAGGCTGGAGGAACACAGAGCATCGGACACACAACGGGAACGCTATCACAGGGCGTGTGAGACCAGTGAGAGAGAGGAACAGTCAGGAGGGAACTATTGCTTGACAAAATTACACACCAGGGGAACTCAATGACCTCCCTCCCAAAACAAAAAATAAACAGAGGAAGAGAATATGAAAGGTCTGGGTTGGTTTTCAGGTGGAGGTGAGGACGGAGGATGCTCAGAGGAGGCAGAAGAGCATCACTGCCCTAGGATTGGAGGCTGTAGCAAGGCATGACTGCGCTGGAAGACGGACATCAGAGATCTACAAGGGCTTGGCAGAGGATGGGCTGTTGGGGAGCGTGGGGCAGCAGCTCCCTTTAATCACTGGCAACGTGGTTCTCGTTTTGGAGGGTGTGCCAGCGCTCAATCTTCTTGTCCTTGTTCTTCAAACATTCATACCAGTGTTTCAAGCGCTCGCCCTTGGCCGTAATGCCGAGCTGGCAACCGCCTGGGAGACAGGGAGAGAGGAGACATGGCATTCAGAGGGGATGCTTATGTTACAGTAAATCCCTCCATAGGGACAGAACTCACATTTGCAACACTTTTCCCACCTCCTGGATCAAAAATCTCATGGAAACACCCCGACATGCTTTGCTTGCCCAGAAGGGCCCCCTGGGATGCAGGAGATGGGCAGCACAGCGGGTGCAGTGTATGTGGTGGTCTGATACAAGCATCCCACCAGCTTCCATGGTCCCATCTGGGGTTCCTCACAGGGCAGGTGACCTACACACCCCTCCCATAACAGCAAACACTGTCTTGGGCACCAAAAAACGCACCCCAGAGTGCAGAGACTTTCAGCTCACCAATGTAGTCATTGGATTTTCCGATGTCGTAATCCCAGACTGAAATGTCCAGTGACTTCTTGGCCAGATCACTGTGTTTTATGTCATAGAAGAACTCCTGTAGAAGGAGAAAAATACGTCACGTAAAGCATTCCAGGAAAACACTCCCCAGAACCTGCAGTTAAGGGATTGCACATGTTCTCTGTACAGCCTGGATTCAAAATCCAGTGAGAGAAGAGTTAAAATTAATGAAGGGAAAATGCTCCTTCCCTGTAGCACCTCTTCTCTCAGGATGACAGGAGCTGAGCTCACTCCCTGTACCTACGTGAGCCCTTTCCAGGTGTCCCATCAAAGAAGAACCAGTGGTGGGACCCCAGGGGCACCCATCCCACCCACACCCCCCAGCCAGGGAGACACAGAGTCAGCAGCACCAGCAGCAAGGAGGCTTCAGGGTGCATGTGCTGCCTGGCCCCATGGCAAAGTCATTCCCAAAATGCTGCTGGAAACAGAAGTGGGAAAGGAGCCTGAGCAAGGAATCAAACCTCACAGAGTTTGTCTTCCACCTCCTCCACACAACACAGTAATTAGCTAAATTGATTTATTAATATAAAAAAATAGATCCATCCCTACCTCGTTAAACTCAGGATTCAACGTTTTCTTCTTAATCTGTGTCTTGTGCTTGGCCTTTTTTCCCATATCAGGTTTCAGCCAACTGGGGGTAACAGAAAACAGCTCAAAACTCAAGTGCAAGAACAGTGGGAGCTTACAAGCTTAAAAAGTGAGTTTCTGTGCTAGAAAAAAGGGCACTGACTATATTTATTTAAGGCCAGTCTCCCCACCTTCTAGAGGATGTGGGAAAAATGTGGGGCTGGGGCTGTGCAGCCTGGATGGAGATCCAGGACTCAGTTGTTCTGAGTTGAAATAATTTAAATCTATGTTCAAAGTTGATTTTAAAATGCAAGTTCACCATCTTACATTCATGGAAATTGAAAATATAAAAAAAATAAAGAGAGACTGAGAAGGTAAACTGCTCAGTTTCACCTCAGCTATAAAGAGATGTGCAAAGTGTTCAACACGAGAGTTATTGAAGGAGTTTTAGGGAGAACAGAGGTTTTTTTCTGAAGGCAAAGAGAAAACAGCAATGATAACCTCACCAGCAATGACTGCAGGGTCCTCACTGTGTCACAGTTTATGAGGTTGGAGTAAAAACAACTCCCACATTCCCAGGAGCCACCCAACCATCGGAGACAGAGATAGACAAGGTGATCCCTGGGCTCCCAGCTTCACCCAGCACGTGGGATTATGAGGCAGGAAGTGGGGCATGGAGGGACATCAAGCCACCCCTGCCCTGCAGCCACAGTGGGTCAGAGATGGAGAGAAGGACCCCCTGTTCTCCTTGACATGAGGTCAAAGGTTGAACTCAACGGCCTTGGAGGTCTTTTCCAGTGATTCACTGATTCTACATGAGGTGCCCATTGGATCTGGGCATTTGGGGACCTAGAGGGAGCGATGGAGCCAAGGGCTGGGTCAGTCTCAGCCACAGTGGGGGCACTTCCACCATGCACGGTTACTGCTGGCGGACAGCTCCTCCTGCACGAGGTCTGCAGTGGCTTTGGAAGGAATTCCCAGCCCACCAGCTGCTGCCCGAGGACAGCAGGTGGCTCCATGCCCATGGGTTACAACCCCAGCCATCCCCAGGGCTCACTCACAGCTTCACGAAGGGGTCCGAGTACCCGTTGGCGTCCATGGCTGCCAAGTGCACGCAGCGCACGATGCCCACGATGAGCCCGCCCTGCTGGGTGCTGTACATGAGGGACACCAGGATCTTCCCACGCTCCTCCACGTCCCCACCACGATCTACCTGCGGGGGGAACACACCAGAGATGGGGACAGGGGGGCTGAGCCAGGAAAATGTCAGCGGCAGAGCAGATGAGACAGGGTGGACAGAAGGGAACCTCATTCTCCATGAGGGCTGGGAAAACAGGCTCACACACAAGAGACAGTGAGTGAAACGTGCAGGGAGCGTGCTGTCCTCCAAGGACTTACCTCCTCTTCATACAGAGCCATCCCACGGGATGCACCGGTTGTTCCAGCACGTTTTGTCTTGGATGAGAAAGGGAAAAAGAGACTGCCATGAGTGACCACAGCTGGGATAGAGCTCTGGGGGCTCAGCCCAGCTCCTTTGCTGGGCTGAGGAATGTCCATCTGCTCCATCAACCTTCACCTCAGCAGATTCTACACTGGGGAGCAGAGCTCAGGGATGGAGCAATCTGCCCTCTCCTCCGCGGTGACAGCGCCAACAGGAGAGGTCTCCAGAGTCACTTCCCCTGGATTCCCACCACACTCTTATCTCCTGGCCTGGATGTGTCGTATCAGACCAGACACAGGTGGGAATCCAGCTCCTGAAGGTGCCAGTGAAGTCAGGCACCTCCAGCTCCAACCCCAAACCCACCCCAACCTCCCTCACATGCCACTTGTTTGCAGCCCCAACACAAAGGGCAGTAGAAGGAAATCTCTCAGACACTCACTGGTATTACTCTCTCCAGGCAAATGTTGAAGTTCTTTTTCTGATTCGCTTTGAGTTTTTTCAAGGAAACTCGAGTTTCTCCAATAAACTCGTTGTGGCCAAATTTGTCTTCATCACACACTGAGATCCTGAAGGGAAGAGGAAAAGGTGGAACATCAGCCAGGCTGGAACAGCACCTCACTCTAGAGCTAAAGCCACCTCTGCAGGGGCACTGTTGGAGGGGTGGACTGAGCAAAGCCCCCCTAAAATCACCCTCCATCTATCTCTCCTCTGATAAGAGGAGGAATAAAATCAATCTTCTGGTTGGCCAAAAAAAAAAAAAAAAAAAAAAAAAAAATCAACATTTTTAATATCTGCTCTGTGATAGGGGAAGAGATCAACAGTGGAAAGGTGGAAATTTTCTGCAGGAAGGAAAACATCAAAAATTTTTAGAGATTATTTAAATAGACATTTTAATATTTTGCTGGGATATTGTTTGATCAGCACAGATACACAATATGCACATCTCCACACCGATAAGAATTACAGTGATGCCAATAATTTAATATTAAATTACAGGGCCAAAATGCTTTTTCTCCACTTCAAAGGACCACCCAAATCAGAAAGTTCATGGTGATTTTTAACCAAAACCTCTGTGTTTCCAGGTGCCCCATCACCCCCTGTACTTTGATGCCAGTGCTCTCCTCCATGTGAGGAGCCCCACAGTCCCCATCCCACCCCCTCCATGGGATCCCAGGCTCCTCTGCTTGCCTGAGGGTTTTCCTCTGCATGTCCTCATCCGTGATGCCGTGGTACACCAGGGTCTCGTTCCACACGGGGTTGCGGGTGTTGCGCAGCGTCTTCGTCCTCAGCTTGTTTGACTGCAATGGCAAACAAACAAACCACGGTGTAACTACACCCCTGAACTCCCCCCACCGAAATCCCAGCTCCTGGCAGAGATGCTCCATCCCATCTGGCTCACGAGAGGTGGTTTGACTGGGTTGTGCTGGTGAGGCATCAACTCCAGGTGAGCATCACCAACCCAACAAGGTGGACCTTTACAGGAGCACTGGGGACTCGGTGACATGTGGTGGCCAGAGCAGCCTTCACTGCCTGGTTTTTGTCACTCCCTGGGATCTATTCCCTCAAGGACACTTGTACAAGGAAGAAGGTGCACAGGGCAGGCTGTGGGGGGCTCAGGTCAAGGCCCTCATGGTCTAAAGGAGGTGGCAGCTGGGGAATCGAGGAGCTCTGCCACTTGATCATGTGTCTTTCACAAACACATGTTAAACATTAAAAAAATTTAAAAAAAAAATCAGCAAATGAGAGCAACAGAAATCAAAGCAATTCCCAAGAACACAACACCTTGATTTACTCTGCACAAGATCAGAAATCCCAGATGCATAAAAGCAAACCTGTAAATATCAATCCAATGGCTTTATTTTCTGTTTTCCCCTTGTTTTATACTTAGTTACTCTGAACAAAAATCTGCTGCAGGGAAAAAACTCTGCACCCCCTGAGCAAAGAGCCAGCACTGCTGGGCCAGTTCTGGTCATCCCTTCCTCCAAGGTTGCCCCACTAAGATCAGCTTAGCTGGGCTGGGGAGGGAGATTTCCAGGGATTTTCATGATGGAGCCAGAGTTTCCTCAACAGTTCTCTCCTCCCAGCTCTAACAAGAACATGTTGCAGCTTCAAAGTAAATGGGTAGTTAAAATTTTGGCAATAAATAGATTCTTGGTCAGATGTTTTGTGATGCATTAACAGTGTTGCCTCCTCTGGAGCGTCCCTTCATCTCTGAGCAGATTCCTGCCTGCAGGATGAGCTGTTCCTTGGGTCTGGGAGAGCATCTGTGAACATCATCACTGTTCAGAGACACCCCCAGGGTAAAACAGCAGCAGTGAGTGAGAAATCAAGGGGGAAAATCTGATACAAGGAAGGGGCCTGAAGGGGCTCTGAGAAACCTCTGCTCCATCCCAGCCCAAAATGCACCAAACCAGGCAAAGCCTCACCTTGCTGGCTCCAGGTAGGAGGTGCAGTTTCACGTAGGGATCAGCCAGGCCATTGGAGTCCATCGGTTTTAAGCCCTAAAAGATGATTAAGAGAACATGGCACATGAATCCTCATTCAGCTGAGCCAGGGAAGAGAAGAAGCTGTCCATGAAGCAACTCAGCAAAGAGAAAACGTGTTCAGTGAACCAAGAGCCTCGTTCTCTGCCCCGAGCAGTCGTGGGTGCCACGATGTGCTGAAGCATCAGACTCACTCGAGGAAAAATCATAATTATAGAACCACAGGATGGTTTGAGGTGAAAGACACCCCAAATATCACCAAGTTCCAACGCCCTGCCATGGGCAGGGACATGTTTCACCAGACTTGTCTGACCTGGTCTTGAACAGTTCCGGGCATGCAGCAGCCGCAGGTTCTCTGGGAAGCCATCCCAGTGCCTCACCATCCTCACAGATTTCTTGGATCCACTCAAGGAAAAGCCCCACAACTTTCCCCAGCCAGAAGCAGTTGTGCCAACAGGGTCAGGCTGAGTCTCCCAAGGGAGCAGCCTCTGTCTGCAGCCACATGGCTTCCATCTCATCGCACCAAAGAAACTGGAAGCCAGAGGGACTTAAATTGGGGACAAAATGGGAAAAAAGAGGAGCACTTACCTTGGCCTTGATGAGGGTGCAGTGCAGGGAGCTGTTCTCCTGGTCGTAGAGCAGGCTGAACTCCAGAGCTCCCAGCGTGGCTGACAGAGAGGGAGGAGGAGTTGGAAATAGAATCTTGTTAAAACCCCAGCCAATAAATGCATTTAGTCAGCCCTGATTAGTAATAATTAGAAAGATTTGTGGGTCAAATGTAGAAGCTGTTTAACGCACACGAGACTGTGCTGGCACCGGCCAAAGTGCCACAGATCCAGCTGGACTCAGGAGCTCTGGTCAAAGCCTTACAGAGGAGGGACTGCCCAGGGAGGGCAGCCTGGGACTTTGGAACTGGATTCAATATTCACCAGGCAGAGCAGGAGTAACCCTACAAACCAGCTCAGGGACAGCATCTTCTCCCAAGGCTGAGAGTCAGTGCTTGGCCCCCAAAATGGGAGAAACCAACTCAGGCTTGTCTTCATGTGATCACCAGGAAAATACAACAGAGATGAAGAGAAGGCACAGAACCTCAGCTGGGTCCAGCTGCTCCTACCCAAGCACCTGCTCCTGGCCCCGAGCAGCTCTTCCCACCCAGGAGGTTCTCCCACAGATGCTCACCCTCCTGCAGCAAATTCCCTTTCTTTTAGGGGAGCAAATGGCTGAACACCAAGATCTCAGGGTGCAAAGGGATTGCAGCCACCAAGCCCTTCCTAGGCAGGCCAGTAGTGTTTCTCAGAGCAAAGGATGCTCAGATGGAAAGAGGCAGACGCCTTAGGGACTCCAGTATGGAAACAGGAAGGTGACGTAGGTTCAGAGCCTGAATCATCACATCAGAGCTCAGTGTTTGGTGCAAAACCAACTGAAGATCCTGTGGGCTGCACGAACTGCACTGAGCAGGGACAGCCTGCAAGACCCTGCCCCAATCACAGGGAAGCAGAGTTCCCCAAGGATTCTCCCAGCCGGAGACCCAGCACCTTACCATACGAGTCAGGCTCCCCCAGCGATCATCTCCTCAAACTCCCATGCTTCCCAAAGAACAGCTCCCTCCCTTCCATGCACCCTGGGTACGTACTGCCTTCATCAGAGTCATAGCTGTTGGCATCTTCCTCCTCCTCCTGGGGCTGCTGCTGCTGCTGCTGCCGCTGCGGGGCTGCGGATGCGGGTGTGGCGGCGGGGGGCTGCTGGAAGGCGGGGGGCTGCCAGGCCGGCCTCTCCTCCCTGGCGGGGGGTGCAGCGTAGCCCCCTCCTCGCTCCTCCCTGGCGGCAGCGCGGGCCGGCTCTGAGGGTCCCAGCGGTGGGCTCGCTGCGGGAGGGACCCCGTTAGCACCCCGTGGGCTCTGCCCCCCAGCCCCTCACAGACAGCTCGGTCTTACCTTGTCTCTCCGGGAACCGCCCACCCGCCCCGGGGCCCGGCCTCGCTGCTGCCGGCGGCGCTAGGGACAAACGCAGCATCACCAGGGAGTTCACTGAGAGGTGGTTCCAGCCCTCTCCCCGACCCCAGCACCGCAATTCCACAAACAAGGCATTGAGTGGTCCCCAGGGACTGTTCCTGGTTGCATCCCCGTCACATCCTACCTGCCGGTGCTGCCGCCGGAGCGGGACCCGCAGCGGGTCCGGCAGTGGCTGGTGGGGGCGGCCGTGAGGCTTGAACGGAGTTGGTTCTCTTCACACCTGCAAGGAGGGGGCAGAATCAGCACAGACAACCCTTAGACAGCTGCCAGCCTTGTGCCCCCCAGCCCTCTCCTCCCAAGGGTGCAGAAGCAGGCACAGGGATGCAGGAGCACAGTTCTCACCAGGGCTCCTGCTGACCCCGCTCTCGGCACCGTAGTCCCGGCTCTCGGTGTCCCCACCGGTGTCCTCGCTGCCACACGGACCCGCCCGGCCCTCGGCCGGCCTGCGGCTCCCCCTGGGGGATGCCGTCGTGTCGCTGCCTGCGGGAGAGGGATAAAGGCAGCTGTGAGGCTGGAAAACCAACCTCCCACCCCTGGGTGAAGCTCAGTCTGGGTGTCAGCAAGAGGAGGCAAAAGAGGATGGGCACAGCCACTACGGCATCACCCCCAGAGTTTTGGCGACTGCAACAGGAGGGCTCTGCACCACCAAACCTCCACACAGCGGTCAGGAAAGCCCAAAGGACACACCAAACCATGGGAACACCAAGAGATGCAGGAATCCCATGGGAAAACAAGGCCAGAGGCATGCATCATCTAGTCCTCAGCACCCATCAAACCCCTAAGGCATCACAGCTCCACAGTCCCCAGGACAGGGGGATCATATTTTCCTTTTGTTGATCATCATCTGTTTATTAACAAGACAAGGGTGGCAGCTGCCTCTGCCTCTCACTTCCATCACCCAGCAGATAAATCCCAGCCACACGCTCCAGGGTGCCCAGAGCGCTCCGTGGTGACAAATTGCAACCCACAGATGTGATGGAAAAGGTCCCGGCGCTCACCTGGCTGGCACTGGAGATGCCAGGTATAAATCTTGGCTGTGACATAAATGGGATGTTTCTCCTTGGCTGGGCTCTCAGGGTCACCGGAGAAAGCGAAACGCAACAGATTGTAGGTGGGGGAGAGGAGGGAGGGAAAAACACCGGGATGCTGAAGAGCAGAGAGGAGTGGAAACGAGCATCCAGGCCCAGGAGCCCCGTGGCGCAGAAATAGCAGTGCAATAAATAATTTTCCAAGGGAGCTTTAGGAAAATCATGGGCACAATGTGAGCATGCTGAGCATCGAGAGGGACCTGCAGAGCTGGCAAAGCCTTCCGGACTTGCAGGAGCCAGAGCTCAATAAAAGCTGCCTGTTGTGGGGCTGGGAAACTCAACAGCACCAGCTACTGTTGCGATTAAATCACCTTAATTAAGTGGTTTCCCCAAGTGCTGCTGCACGGGAAGGGGAAGATCATCAGCTGGGAGCACCAGGCTGGGCACAGGTTCATCTGGAGCTCCCCACAGGTCTGTGACTAATCCCTGGTACCCACAGTGGGTGCCTCCCCATGGGTCTCACCCCAAACCACCACCCAGACACATAGGATGTGTCTCCATCGTGTGGGCTGGAGGGAGCACAGCTCAGAAAAAGGCTGTGCCACCAACATGGAGCCACAACTGGGAACTCAAGCACGGCCACTGCCACAACAGACCCTGAGCTAAAGGATGGGTGGGATGGAGGGGACCACACCAGGGGAAATGTCCTCTCAAACTCCTACTGCCTTCTTTGTAATGAAGGAGAGGAAGAGGAGGGTTTGCAGCCACTGTGCTGCTCTCATCTTAATGATTGTCCAGCCAGGGGCAGGGGGGGTCTGGAATCCTCAGCACCTCAGCACTCTGATGTGGAACTGTGAAAATGGGGGATATTACTCAAAATTAACTCCCAGTGAGACCTTCTCAGTCTCTCCAACTCCCTTACAGGAGGGTGCAGCCAGGTGGGGGTCGGACTCTGCTCCTGGGGAACAAGGGACAGGGCAAGAGGAAACAGCCTCAGGTTGTGCCAGGGGAGGTTTAGGTCAGATATTAGGGAACATTGCTTCACTGAAAGGGTTGTCTAGCCCTGGCACGGGTGCCCAGGGCAGGGGTGGAGCCACAATCCCTGAAGGGATTTAAAAGCCATGTAAATGTGACACCCGGGGACATGGGTTAATGGTGGCCTTGGCATTGCTAGGGGAACGGTTGGACTTAATGGTGTTAGAGGGCTTTTCCAAACTAAATTATTCCATGATTCTAAGTGGTGGAGGGGGTAAGGTATTACCACAAAAAAACCCGAGTGCATCCTCCCCCTGTTCTGCCTCCCGTGCACGGCACAAGCCTGGGCACAGCTCTGTGCTGGTGCCCTTCGGTGGGGGAAACCAGAGCAGAGCAGCTCAGCTGCTCCATCCCTTGCAGACATGCACAAGCCCCCACAAACCTCCAGGAGTTTCTCCGGGAGGTTTTCCAAGGACTGCCATTAAATAAGCAGAAAATCTCCTGCCCCTCACAGCAGGACCCACCACCCACAGAGGCAGCTCCGCTCAGCGCTGGAATCGCAGCCGCTCAGCCCCGGCGTGTGCAGGGGGTGGGGAAGCCCAGGAATAACTCAGTCCCCGCGTGGTGGGCGGCAGCAGCAAGGAGAGGTCCTGCTGCAGCCTCCCATGGGAAACTGCGGGAAAACGTCATGGGAATGGAGGGAGGGAGAGAGGGGACTCAGCACAGGCGGCACCAGGGCAGTGGCACGGGGAGAGGGTGAAGGCCGGTGCTTACCCTCGGCGTCCGGCTCGGCTGGGGGGGGCCCGGCCTCCGCCTGGCCTTGGGGGCACAAACAGAGCGAAAGGGGTGAAGCTGCAGCCCACACTCCCCCCAACACCAACCCTTATTTCCCTTTTTATTCTTATTTTTCCCAGGCTTCTCTGTCACCGTGTTCATACCCAGGCACTGCCCAAACTCCTGATCCCCACCCAGGGCTGCTTTGCTGAAGGATGTTCCTGCAATCCCATCCACCCCCGACTTGGACAGCCTGGATAAAGCCTCCGCAGGCAGGGAGGGCAGCAGGACCATTTCTACGCTCTTTAGGACACAGGCAGCAGCCACAGGACTGCTCTGGTGCTTTTTCCCCAGAGTTTTCCCATGCCAACAATGTGGAGAGACCCAATACCACACTGGGAGTACCCCTGCCAATGCTGGGGGGGTCAGCACCCGCTGTCACCTACCTCGGGTGGGTGCCCGGGAGGACACTTTGGGGTCTGGGGTGGGCGGTTCTGCCGGGCTGGGCTCGCTCGGGGCTTGGGGTCCCTTGTTCTTGCTGACGGGCATCGGCTGGGGCAACATCTGCTTGGGCAAACCCTTGAAGAACCAGGCACCAGAGCGCTTCCACACCTGGGGGAGCAGGGAGAAGGCTGGCATCCATGTCTTGGGAGGGGTCCTGGGGACTTCATCCCCCTGCACCAGCAGGTGGAGGACACACAACTCCACATCCCCACCCTGCAGCCCATGCTGTTAATTAATTAACTCTTTGGCTCATGCTGCAGGCAGCAGACAGTCAATCTGCCCACAACAGCCTCTGTGACACCAAGACTTTGTTTTGGACTAGTAAATGTCATTTTATGTAGAAAACAAGAGTATGCTGTAAGAACCAGACTCGAGCAGCTGGGCAAGGCTTAGTGGTGCTGAAAATCCCTGGGAGCTTCAGTTGGTCCCATCTGGGAGAGGTCTGGGGTGGGGACAGTGCACAGGGTGACACCAAGGGCAGGGACCATATCCCTGGGGCAGGGGGAGCCCGGGGGGCCACACTCACCTCCCGCTGCTCACTGCAGATCTTGCAGAGCCAGATGGCGTGGGGCCGGTTGTTGGTGGTCTGCACCCCGCACTTGGTGCAGACGTTCTGCAGGGAAAACAAAGTTCTGGCCACCGCAAGGTCCCACCACACCAGCACCACCAGTGGGATGTTAATGAGGGCTGGTTAACGAGAGCTCTCCCAGCACAAGCACCAGTGAGCACAGAAACCCTCGGAGATGTCCTCTCATGCCACGTGTGGAGGGATGTGGGGCTAAAGAAACATGCCCCCAAAGACTGAGGTTCCCCCAGAGCTGAGATGTTCTCCCAGATTTGTCAATAAAACCCTCCCCAAGGATCGTCCTGATGCTCTGTGTGAGCCATGTGTGGCAAAGCAAACTCCTCCTTTCTCCGTGCTCAGAGCTACAGGAGCTCCACTCTGCTGGACCCCCTCGCTCACAAGCACCAACCTCATTCGAAATTATAATTTCCAACTGCTAAAAGCCCGAAATTACAAAATAAATTGAATTAACAATCCCTGAGCCAGCCAGTCCACACGGCGTTCCTGCAGTGAGGAATGATTGCTGGGGCATTCCTTGGGGGCCACAGGCTGTGGGGATCAGGGATGAGCTCTGAGGGTCTGGGGGGTGCTGTGGGGGTCCGGGGAGGTGCAGGGCACAGGGAGGGGCCTCACCTTCTTGCAGTCCTCACACACGACACAGGCGGACCCACGTGGCCCCAGCTGCTCCCCACACAGGATGCAGCGGTTCACCCCGTCCCCCAGCACGCTCCGGCGCATGTCCTCCAGCCTGGTCATCAGCCTCCTGGCAAAGAGGGGACAGGGAATGTCAGGAAAGGCTCAGGATATTGGGGTCAGGGTCCTGCTCCTGAGGGGTAGCCACTGCCTTTGGTCCGGCCGCTCCTTTTCCTTGGGCAGCTCCCGGTAGAGAATCTCCCCTTCCAACTGTGGGAATGCAACCAGGGGAAAAGATGTCCCAGTGGGATATAATATTCCAGCATGTCCTTTATACTTCATATTGCACAATATTAACTTCCACTGATGCAGCCAGAGAGCTGACACCAGCCCCAGCTCCACGTACACGCATGTGGAAATCCATCCAAGGCAGCATCTCTACAGAGAGCAGTTTGGCATCAGTGAAGCAGCTTTGTCCCCAAATGGAAACTTTTCCACCCAGTGACTGCTCACGAAGAGCTGCAAGAAATCCTGGAAGGGCTCTAGTAAGGACTGAATGAATTAATTAGCCTTCTTATTAATTAAGGAAAAATATTGCCTATAGTGGAAATTATGGAAATTCTTTAAATGAAATGCTAAAAGCCCACTGGAGAACAGGTTATAAAAACACACCTTTGGTTCCTGCAAAGGTAGAAAAAAAAAAATGAACAGTTAGGGAAGTTCTGGAAAACCAGCATTGGCAAAAGGAGTTTGGGAAGCAGGAGGGAGCTGCCAGCATTGTACGCTCAGTTAACCCAGAATCCTGGCCCTAAAAATAGCACGAGAAGGGAAAAAGGATGCATTATTTATGCCATTCAGTGAGGAAGGAGTAGGAATGAAGGAAGGGAGGAGGAGATCCAAGCCCACCAGAGAGAGTAGCCCCCGAGGCCGCCATCCCCCTCGGCAGCCTGACCCAAATCCGACAGAGCCGCGAACACGGCGGGAAAAACACCCGGCGTTGGAAAGACATTTTCCCACATGTCTGATGACACCTTTGGATTTATGGTGACTTGGCTGCCAACACCTTTGAAAGGCTCACAAAGCTTCCGTCCACACAGGGTGCCTCTGGTTTGGTGTCCAGCCACTTGCAGGACGGCTGGTATTCCATGGGCTCCATGGGGAAAAGCTTGATGAAGGAACAGCAGCAAGAGGGGGAAAAATCATGCAATCATAGAATGGGTTGGGTTGGAAGGGACCTTAAAGATTATTTAGTCCACCCCCTGCCACGGGCAGGGACACCTTCCACTAGCCCAGGTTGCTCCAAGCCCTGTCCAACCCAGCCTTGGACACTTGCAGGGATGAGGCAGCCACAGCTTCTCTGGGCAACCTGTGCCAGGGCCTCACCACCCTCACAGGGGAGGATTTCTTCCTAAAATAAAGCACTGTGGGACGTGCAGCCTAGCACAGCTCAGAAATTCCTCACTGCAGTCAACAGGAGCATCTCAAAGCACTTCACCAGCCACCACATCAAGTCCAATGTGGGGATGCAGCTCCGTGACTCTGCAGACATTATCCAACCAAAGCCACGTTATCACATCATCTTAATTAGGTGGGAGGCAACAGCTCTGCTAAAACCCACCGGGGAATCTCCCACTCCTCCCCATGGGCTCCAGGCTGCCAGTGTGGAGGTGCCTCCTGACAGTTCTTAATGAACCTGCACAGCCCGTTCCCAGCAGGGAGATGGGATTGTTGGGCTGGGTGGGCAGCAGCAGAGCCAGATGGAGCCAGCAGTGGGGAGAAATCGCTGTTTTCACAGTTGCAGTGTCACCAGACAGCAGATGGAGGAGTTCACAAGTTCCTTCAGTCTCCATCGCCCGCAGCTCTGGCAGCAACAGGACCATGGGGGCTCTAAAAACAGCAATTCTGGTTTGCAGCCTTTCGTTAAAAAATAACATCCTTGGACCATGGTGAGGGGATTTTGTGCTTTTCCACTTCATGGAGAAGGTGCTCCGGTGCTGGATGGAGCTTGCAGCAACCTGGTCTAGCAGAAGGTGCCCCTGCCCTTGGCAGGGGGTGGAATGAGATGAGTTTTAAGGTCCCTTCTAGCCCAAACCATTCTGGGATTTACTCAAGAGATGTGACTGTCCATCCCTACCCATCAGCACCCACCCTTGGTGCCTTTCCCAAGCTCCATGGCCAGCATATTTTGCTGCAAACACAGAGCTCCCAGTGACTTCAGCAGAGCTGCCTCATCCCATAACCCCCAGCCAGCAGTATTCCAACAAAAACCTGGAAACTGGCCGTTCCCCAAACGTTTCTTATTTAAATGAAATGAATCCCTGCCCATGCAGTGCAGGGTCCCCACCAAGAGCCCCCAACAGCAACCAACCAACAACCTCCAGCTTTTGTGGCAGCACATCATTCCCACCTCACCAGGGGGAATATTCTGGGGGGAAAAAAACCCTTTCTTTTCCAAGCAGCAAAGCACAAGCACCTCCTGCAATCCCCCCCCAGGCTGTGCTGCAAGAGCTCCAAGCAAAGCAGCTTCCCGTTGGAAATCTGCAAGCCCAAACAAACTTATTATAGAAACTAGAACAAATGGCACAATCAAAGGGATAAAAAAAAAAAAAGGAAAAAGCCTTTGCATTTCAAGAGATTCATTATTTAGCTGCAAAATCTCTCCCAGTCTCTCATTTAGCACAAGCGGCTCCTTAAGTGGTTTTTTAAACCAGTGGAAGAGCTCAGCAGCCAGAACACACACCTGTGGCACCCGTTGCAAGCCAAGCACATTTCCTTAATTAAAACATCCCTTCAAGAAGGAAAAATTGGGCTTTTTTTTTTTTTTTTCATGATTCAAACGCTGCTGGGAGAGAAGTGGATAAAAAGTTAAAGTCCTGGGGTGAGCTTGGCAGAAAGAGCCCTGGGAAAGGGGGTGTTGTGTTGGGACCCCTGGGCTGGGAAGCTCCTGATTAAGTAATAACCAGGAGCAAATAGCCCAGGTTTCTTTCCAGCTCCATCCAGCACCTCCAGAGCCCCATTTCCACACGGTCTCCCACCAATAACCAAGGGAAGCCCTGCTCCTGCCAAGCTTTCTGCCTTTCCCAAAGCTTTTCTCTCCCCTAGACATGATTTCTTTATCATTTTTATTGCCCTCCAGTTCATCCCTCTCCCTCACACATCTCCAGGGCTACACACCTTCCTTGCCATTGTCTGCCCTTCCAAGTGCCCATCCCTCTGGCCTCTGTAGGACTGCCCTTAAAAAGCAGGAACTATCCTTCAAATTGTTAAAATAGGGGGAAAAAAGCCAAGAGAAGAGTAATTGAAGCTGGTAGCAGGGAGCTGGCTCAGCCCAGCACCCGGAGCCAGCCCTGTGGAGCGGGAGAACATCCATCACCCGCCAAAGAAATACGGATTAGTCACTGATGGGAGCACGATAGGAGCAGCTGCATCTGAAATGCTCCACGTGCACCTGAGATAACAGCAATAAAACACATTAATGATAACATATTAACGACCCAGCCCCATAAATATGGTTTGGAAGAGGAAGGTGAGCAGCCCCAAGGCAGTGAGCCAGCCCTCCCCAGGCATTCCTGCCCACACTTCAGAGCCCTGGAGTGGGCAGGGAAGGGCTCACGGTCACAGGAGACCTGCAAACATCTCCCATGGTCTGTGGCATCCCCACAGGGATGAGGGACCACCTTAGTCTGGGCTCAATCCTAGACAGGATGGAACTGGTGATGGGTTTGGCAGTGTTGGGTTAATGCTTGGAAAAGACCTCCAAGATCATCAAATCCAACCTAAATGATCTGATGGAACTCTCAGTGCTGCAGCATCAGCGTTTTCTCTTGCACCAGGACCAGAGGGATGCAGAGAAGGACAGAGAGACACTGGAATTAAGTGCTGATGATCCTGGAAAACAAGACTTAACAGCAGGGCAGGCACACAAGAGTTTGTTGTGTTTAAATATTCATTGCCACTCAGAAGTTAATGGTAAAGATGTGCTTAATGGGTTTTGTGCCAGGGAGGACATTTAATGCTGTAAAGGGGGTAGGAGAAGGACCTGATCCATGAGGAACGACCTGATCCAGGGCATGATGAGCCAGGTGCTCCCCAGCACCACGTGGGAACCAGCAGGGACAGACTCAGCCACCAAAAAACCACATCCATGGCCAAAAGAAACTCCAGTAGAACACAAAGGAGGTCACAAAGTGCCTCCAGAATTAAGCACTGCTTTGCCTCCATGGGGAAATCATGTGCCTTAAAGGGCTGAATATTAAATTAAGGTTAATTTTAATGGCATAAAAGAGACAAGAAAAGCAGCCAAGCTACAGATTAAAGAAAACATAATTAAAATTGGGATGGGAAATGAGAAGCAATTTTCCTCCCCTACAAGTTTGCAGGTGACTAAAGGTAAAGCACCATTTGGGCTTTTCCAGGCTGAGCCCTCACCATGGAGAGGAGATGCCCAACCAAAATCCCACAAAAACTCAAGCAGCGTGAGTTGTCTCCCAGCCATGAATCAACCTCATCTCCTTTAGAAGTTGGCATCTCGGGAGACATTCCTGCCTGTCTCCAGCAACCTCCCTGCCCTTCCTTGACCCCTAATTTTATTTTTATGTTGTCTGCACACAAGGAAGAAGAGCTGAGGCTGTGGTCCCCAGTGAGCCTCCCTGCTGCTGGTCACCAAGGTTAATGACTTAATCCCCTGTGATTTCAGCCATCTGCTCCAGCATTATCTATGTGTCATCCCAGCAATAAGCAGCCAAATTAAAATGCAATCCTGCTCCAGAGTTGGTCCTCTCAGAGGAAAGGTGAGAGGCTGTGACCCATGGGGAGACAGTTAAGCCACAGCACTTTTGGAGGGGATCCAGGAGCCATATGTCACCTCACCCCTGGGAGAACCAGCTCCATGCAAGGCACTCTCCAGAAATATCAATTTCTGACTTTGGGTGGTTTGAGATCTTTCCTTCAATGCCAAGAGCAGGCTGGAACTCATTAGGCAGCAGAGCAGACTCGGTGTGTTATTGATGGCACCCAATTATAGATGCATAATGGAGTCAATTAGTGCCTGCAGGTGCTCCTGTGCCAGCTGGGAAGAACAGGCTCCTCCTGGAGTGCAGCTGGAGCATCACCACCACCATCACTGGAGTATCACCAGAGCCGGCACAGGGACCCCCTGAGCATGAGCCAGGCCAAGCAGGGAGTGAGACGGGACAGCAGCAGATTCATCCCTGCCAACGTGGACCTCTGATCCCTCTGCCCAACAGCTTTGAGCCCCTGTGTCCCTCAACCAGCCCAAGGGATTATCCTCCTCACCCAGCAGTTGTCAAGTCCTTCATCAGTTCCAGCCGGACGTGCTCTTGCTGTGTCATGTTTAAGATGATTTCAGCTCCTATTTATCCTTCTCTATGCCATGAGACAAGGATCCAGCCAAAAAAAGCCCCACACAAAAAGTGTCCCTGTCCTACAATCCTCATCAGCATCCAGCTCATGCATCCCACGGGCTCCATCCACCCTTGTGGCTAAAAATACTCCTTCACTGGATTAATTTGAGCTGGGTTTGACACAAAGTCCAATTCCACAAATAAGATCTCAACAAGCAGCATCGATTTGTTCCCAACCCAGCCAAGGTAAGGGGCTGGTGGGACAGAGATAAAGGAGAGGGAGGGAACTAAACTGGGAGAGACATCAGGCACAAGGAGGTTCATCTGCAGCTAGCACCAGCTGTGGGATTCATGATTGCTCAAGTATCAGATGTAAAACTCAAATGAACCCCTCAAAAACATCCACTTAACTCCAAATATTTACCACATATTCCCTCTTTGGAAGGCACGCTCACTCCACATGAGTTCTTCCTTATATTAACCAAAAACAAAATTTTCATGGAATGACAGAATGGTTGGGTTGGAAGGGACCTTAAAGCCCACCCAGTTCCACCCCCTGCCATGGGCAGGGACACCTTCCACTAGACCAGGTTGCTCCAACCTGGCCTTGAACACTTCCAGGGATGGAGCAGCCACAGCTTCTCCAGACAAGTTTTAATGGATCTTTTTTTTTCCTTCTCCCTTACAGAGAGAGAAAATCCCAGCAAATCCCAGAAACTCAGGCTTTCCAGGAGCAGCATCCCGGAGCAGCCTGTCGGACCAAGGTACATCCATATCCGCTGCCTCCCTGCCAGAGGCCAGCCTGGCAAACCCGGATTATTTTGTAATATAAGGAGCTCTCCTGGATAAGGTCCGAGCAGCTCCTGAACGGATGATTCCGTACGAGAGACTGATCCAGGCGCTGTCCCATATTTCTGGAGCTGAACATCCCACAGCTCTTGTTGTGCAAGCCAACAAACACAAAGGGGCTGGCACGGCTCCCGCTGCGCCTCCACGCAGGGGGGGGAATCAGCTGCGGCAGCACATCCGCCAGCATTCCCGGCTCCCAGTCCTCCGCCCGGCTTTTCATGAATGAGAATGAGCAAACCTCCTCCTCCTCGGCTCACGAAGGCGAAAGGCAGGCTTTCTGCAGGCTGGTAAACAGCTGCACGATGCAAAATAAATCTCTCCCCCCTCTCTGCTGAAGATGATTTATGCCTGATCCAAAGAGCATCACGTTTGAGAGTAGTTCTTACAGGGCTGCAAATGGGCAAAGCCGGGGAAACGCTGCTTGTAAGCACTTTTGGGGAATGAATCACCACCATTCACAGCTACTTTCACCTGGTTTCTGCCAAAAAGCCGGGAGAGGAAAGCGCTACCTGTTGTAAAGTGAGGTGATGCCAAGCTGGGGAGGCATCTTGAGCCTGGAGGAGCAGCACATCCAAGGGACATTGCCAAGCCCTGGCAGTGAAAACAACCTCTGTCAAGGCAGAACCTGTCCAGGCTGTTCACAGACCACTCCTAACAAAGGATTTCTGCAAGTGAGTAAATAAATCCACCAGTTTGGAGGCCACAAGGTGCAGCCAGAGCACACCACGGTTGCACCACAAACACTCAATATTTAAGTGTTATTAAGGGACAGCAAAGCTTCCCCAAGCTACAAGATGGGCTTTGGTATTCCCAGAGCAGTGGAGAGCACAATTCCTGCCTGGGCCTGAGTATGTTCCCTCCAAGGGAAAAAAAAAGCCAGATGCTTAAGTTCAGCAAGAAGAAACTGTTCCTCTGTAAGGAAAACAGGTGTGATGCCTGACAAATGGGATTATGGAGATCCCACTGGAAAACCAGCCCCAGCAGAGCAAGTTGATACCTCATTACCATTATTTCACCTGATACCTTTGCCCAGGAAGAGCAGAGGGGCAGGAAAAGAAATACAGGCTCTTCTCACCCTCTGAATGGGTGCCAAGGATGCCCCCAGTACCCTTCAGTGGTCATGGGTACCCCAGAATCCCCAGGAGCTGGTCCCAGCACGTACCAGCCCTGAGCATCACTCAGACCTACTGAGCCTCAGAGACAGCTCATTTCAGGGTGGTAGGAGAGATTGACCACAGGGATGGATCCATCACCACTCCAGCCCCACGTCTGTTTTCCCAAAACAAGACAAAGCCCCTCTCAGTGAGCCATGACTTTGCCCACACTCACGGGGGCTCAGGCTCCTGGACAAGCAGCTTCACGAAATGACATGTTATTAATGATCCCTTTTAGACTGAAAAAAGCGGCTGACACCATAAATCCTTGGCCCAAACTCCGTGGCACACAGAGCAGGAGCAGCACACAGAGCAGATCCCTCCCCTGCGCGCAGGTTCCTCCTGGCTGAGAACCAAAGATCCCCCGCAGGCTCCTTTCAGGAGAAGCACTGCAGTGCAGTAGCTGCTTCCCAGGAAAGCAGCCAAGCAGGAGCTTCCTCCCGTGTCCCTCTGGACCTCCAATGCCACCAGTGCCACCAGCACTGCCTTACCCGATGCGCTCCTGCTCCATCTCCTCCATCTTCTCGGCGCGGGCGATGACCCTGTTGATGATCTCCTTCTCCTCATCCGTCAGCTCCTCGCCCTTGCGCTGCCGGTCGGCTTGGCCGCCCCAGCCGGAGGGGAGCCTGTGGGAACAGGGATTCATCCATGGATCACACAGGTGATTCATACCATGGATGTGTGCGGGAACAGCCAGGCACCAATCCCCAAACCCAAAAGCAGGGCTATGATATCACCCCACCCCTCAAATCCCTTCTAGCTGCAAATGGCCCCCCCCGGTTGGAAGCTCTTATCTCCATTTTTTGAGGGTTTCATATAGAAACACTTGTTTTATATGGATTAAAAAATTCCTTTATAAAAATATTCTCATTATTTCCACGTTTCAGCCAACACAGTTCACTTTGCAGCCTCCTCTCCAGTGTGGAACACCAGGTTTGCCAGTGAGCCGCGGTACCGGGGTGATGGAGCAGGAGTGGGTGGGGTTTTTTTGGGAACATTTCAGCAAACATGGGACTGTTTCCTCCTCTAACATCATTTCCAAGGATCCTTTCGCCCAGCCTGGGTGTCAGGCAGCGATAACCTGGTGACAGGGTAATGTCTGCCACTCAGACTGGAACAACAAAGGATGTAAAAGGCAAATGTCCCTCACACCTTCCATCTTTCTGCTCATCTAAAGACCTTTCCTGTGTATTTTTCCTCCTGGACTGAATGCAACTGCATGGTCTTGAACCTTAAATGCATCAAAACCATGTGCAACACTTCCCAAACTCAATTTTTTTTTTTTTTGGCATCTAAACCAAGGCTTTTTGTATTTTCTCAAAACCATCAGAGGAATAAGTTAAAAAACAAAAAAAAAAAGCAAGGGAGATACTTACTGCTCCTTCTCGCTGCTGGGAGGCACAAGAAAGAGAGGGAATAAGGATTAGGTGAGAGCAGGGACAAGGGCAGCTCAGCCTGGCACAGCCGGTGCTCTCCCCAAAGCAGCTCCAAACACGAGCTTTGCCCAGCCCCTGCATCCTCCAGGCTCCCAAAACCTGTACCCAACCATGGGTGCTGCCACCACCCACCCAGCCAGGACAGAGATGGATGGAGCACCTCCCTGCATGGTGACCACACTGGAGAACATCAGGACAGACAGACGGGGCTCCTCATCAGCACCAGGTTCATGCCCACCCACGAGTCTGTCCCCATCACCCGCTCAGGGGGTTTAGGGGGTAACACCACAAAACATCCTCGTCCAACTGGCACAAACCCAGTTCCTGATGTTCCCAGAGGAAGACCCTGTGTCACCTCCCACCCTGGGGACTCTCCTCCTTCCCGCAGCCCCAGTCCCCTCCTCTCACCTGGCTCGGACAGACATGGTCCTGTCGCTGGGGCACATCCACCGGTCGGAGCTGCCACCCACCACGGCGTCGGTCATCGCCCGCTCCCGGGGCACTCGGGGACTGACTTCAGGGACACCAGTGCCCTGATGAAAAGCACCAACGTCGCACACTGGGCAAGTCAGTCACCTCACTTGCAGACAGCAGCGATGCCAATGACGGCAACCCAGAGTTTTCAGCCAGGCTGGAGGGGAAAAAAAAAAAAACCAAGAAAAATCCCAAAAATCATACCTGGAAAGGCTTTACGTTTGGCATTAAGAGGAACTGGAGCAGGAACATTACTTTGGTGACTGTCTTGATACTGTGCATGAGACACAGGATCCTACCACCACCTCCCTCCCAGGAGGCAGCGCAGCCGCGCTCGGCACAGTTGTAATTAATGAGATACCCGACCTCACATTAATTATGAGGCTTCAGAGCTGGGAGGGAAGAGAGTGTTCCATTTCAGAGAAACATCTACAAACCACGGAACTTTCTCCCCAAAACCCAGCACGTCTTGCACGGTGCCAGGGATGATGACACTGCCAGTCACTGTCCCACCTGGACCACTCCCAGGATGGTCCCCAAGGGCAGCTGGTGTGTCCAGGGGTGGCATCACCCACAAGACACCACTTGCAAAGGGAGAAGCTCTGGTTGAGCCTCCCTTTACAGCTCTTAAGGTGGGAATAAAAGCAAAGACAATCCCTTCAGGAAGGGCTTTGCTGCAGCACTGACCGGAGCACAAGGCTCTGGATATAAGCCCCCCTTCCTCAGGGCTTCCTGCTGATGGAGGCAATATTTTTAGCTCAGCTGCTTCCCACCCCCAGGTTTCCCCCCACCCATCTCCTCTGTGGATGGGGGACCTGCAGAGACACCCCAGCAACAGCCTCCCACCTGCACCACTCACAGCACCTGCATTTGAATTGCTTCCTCTGCCTGCAGAAGAACTAAAAATACACAAACACCCCCCCCCCAAAACCCTCTGCAGAGCCTGGTTGTGGATGATGAACGGCCCAGAGGCTGGGAGAACTTCATCTCCCCACCCTGCTGCCCTGGGATGATGTTGCTGTGGATTCCTCTCTGCCTGGAAGGGACCCCCAGCACCAACTCCAGCATCCCAGAGGTGCCAGTGCACCCCAGCAGCACCAGAATTCAGCCCAAATGGGTAAATGCACCTTTGCAGGGCATGAAGCAACTCCAGAAAAACTCCAGCAGAGGCACTGGGGAGGTTTTCCCAAGGAGAAGAGGGAAAACAGGAGGTTTTAAACTTGCCCCACTGAAATCACAAATTCCAAGCCAAGAAAACCATAAAACTTTCCCAAAAAGGAGGAAAAAACATAATTCCCATCATCCTCTTCCTGCTCTGCAGTTATCTCTGAGGAGTCAGAGATTTGAGGTTCACCTTGGCTTCACTGAAACCTTACATATACATGAAAATATTTTTGGAAAAAAAGGAGAAGTGAAGCACGTGGGTAATTAGTGCTCCGCTGGTTTCACACAGTGCCTATTCCTGTGCCAAACCAGAAGGCTCTGATTAACAAGGTCAGTTAAATAAGCAAATTGTTCATTTAAGTCCCCACCGCCACCTCCACAATCCGCAGTGCAGCAGCAAATTCCCACTGGGAACGAAGGGTTCCAGCTCAGCCTGGGGGTCTTGTGGGGTGGGCACACATTTAATAGGGTGCTCTGGGAGGAAGGGCTGCACTGTGATGCCACCACCCATTTTTGTGGAGATGTGGGTGGATAAGGGACCTGCCTAAGGCCACATGGAGCAGGAGTGTCCAGCCCAGCCCTGCAACAGGGGAAAATAAGTGGAAAATCCCTGTTTTTTCCTAGCAAAGGGGATAAAGTGACCACCAGCACTCAGCACTGGGGAGGAAACTTCTTCCCCCAACTAGAACTTTCTGCTAATAATAGAGAGGCCACGAGTGTTTCGCTTTGTTGCGGATGGAGTGGAGCCCAGGGACAGTTCCTGAAGGAATTCACAATCCGTTCCTTCGCCTATAAATAATAGATTTGGAAGATCTACTTTGCATTACTTCCAGCAACTACCCTCACTTGCCCTAATGCTTGGTTCTGCATTTTTAGCACATGGTAGAGAACAAAATAACAGCTTACAGTGGCTTTTTCCCCCCCGCCAAATCCTTGCTCCCAAGCCAAAGGACGTGGCCCATCCAAGTGGTGATCGATGGGATGCAGCAGCATTTAGTTAATGAAATGGAAACATCCCAACCTAAGAGGTTGCCAAGACCTTCCAGGGTTTGGCTGACCCCAGAGGGTCCCAGGCTTGCTCCCCCTGGTCTGAGATGAGCAGGGATGCGAGCAGGTCTCCAGCTGCTCGAGGTTCTCCAGTGGATGCTGGAAGGAGGCGGCAGCTCCCGTCAGCGCCAACGTGTCCAGGGCAGAGCCAGGAATAGCAGTGAGGTCTTAATTTCTGGCCTTAAGGAAGGGCCACATGACTCCAATCACGCCGCTCCATTACTTCTGTGTGACGGAGCCCATGAACGTGATCATGCCCTGATAAAATGGGATTGAACGCCTTCCGCGGATCCCTCGGCCTCTCCCGTCATCGCCGCTTGCTCCGAGCCAGGAGGTGCCAACTCGTGGGCGCTTCTCCAGCACCCAAAACCTGGCAGACGCAGCATCAGTGACCAGCATGCCTGGGCAGGCAGGGAAAGGCAGCAGGAGCCCCATGGCATGAGCCCATCCCACCCCACAGCACCAGGAAGGACACGGAGCTGCTGCTTCCCCGGGCAGGATCCAAAGCCACCCACAAACCGGGCACCTGAAAAGAGAGACCTGCCCACAGCTGCCCAAACTCACCCCTTCAGCCACCTGGAAATAACAACCCAGGGTAGAAAACAGACAATTCAGTATTTTACAGGCTCCCAGTGCAACAATCAGGTTTTTACGGTGAGCTCAACAGTCCACACTCGATGCCTGCAGAGATTGTCTCCACCAGCAAAGACACTGACACAGGCAACCTATTTCTCCAGCCTTCTCAGCTCTGCAATGCAGCTTTCTTAAATATTGAATAAGTCTGCTGCTCTCCACCACCTGCCAGTGCCAATGATGAGGTAATTTTTGCATTGACAAAGCCTAATGTGATTAATCTGGTCTGAAAGGAGCAGGTTTTAGGGCTCGTCCATTCACTCGGAACACACTCGCAGACGGAGCGTCGGCAGCAGCCAGACCCCAACCAACCAACCAACCCAAACTGCTGCTCCGCTGCCAAGTGGGAGATTATTCCTGTGTGTCATCACCAAACAGGAGGCTTTGAACTTGAATGGATCCCAACATGATCCTCTGGCAGGCTGGTGGGGTTTGCACACTGGCATGGGAGTGTATTTACGCTCCGCGGATGGGGACGGAAAAATAGGATATGAGGATGGGTTTGCCTGATGAGGCTCCCCAGTCTCTTTCCCAGGGAGAAGAGGAACTATTTTGGGGTGACAAGCACCCACCGGGACCCCCCCAGCTGAGCAGGGAGAGGAGCAAACGCAGGAGCCGGAAGGCACCAGGATGGAACTGTCTCCTCATCACTCAGCGTCCCCACACACCGTGTTTGGCAGGAAATCTCTCCCAGCTCACGAGGATGTTCACTGCCATCTCACAACTCCATCAGGGCCAGATCCTGCCTTGTCCAGCTCCAGGGCCCACACCTGGCACTCAGGAAGGTCTGAGGGGACAGGGGACTCCTAAGTCCTCACCAGACACCAGGCACAGACGCTGCACCCCATGTCCAGCTCTGCCCTGAGCATCTCTCAACATCCAGGCTTTTCCTTTCCCAGGAAAAGGGGGTTGCCCGGTGCAGGTGCCACGCACACCCCACACCATTCTCTACAGCACAGAGGACCCATGGCATGGCATTCCCATGGCTATAGGGGCCACAAAGCCGCCCGAACAGGCAGCAGGTGCTCACTGTCCTCCAGTGTCAGGTGGGATTTGGTACTGCTGGATTTACCTGCAGAAGGGCAAGAAAAAAGGGGGAAATAGCCTCAAAATATCTGCTGGAACTGCTGTGTAACACTGCAAGAGAACCAGCAGATCACATGGGGGGCCAGGAGGGCAGCCCAGCCCCATAGGGTTCCACACACCAGAACTCCCTCAAATCCTGACATTCCATCATTTGGCTCATCTCACATACAAATTGGTTTAGGAAGTTCAGGCAAAATTGGGCATCTGCACTATGGAACAGCCCACTTTGGAGGCTTTTCTTTCAAAACAGAATAGAGGGAGGCAGAGCTCACCGGCACAAAAGCTGCTTGGCCTGGAGCTCCCCTGGACATCTGGACCAGGATTGGGGCATGGGACAGCAGGACAGTCCCAGATGAAGCGTCAGGTGACACACTGGAATGGCAGCACACACTGCCAGTGCTCCCACAAGGACTTGCATCCTCCAACAGCCCAGTAATGCCACGAGGTGGGATCAGACCCTGGACACTGAACCCCCTCAACCACCCCATGGCAAAGCGAGGGCGCGGAGTCCTGGGAATCCAGCTTTGGGAATGACCCAGAACCAGCAGGCTGTAGACCTGGGGTCATCACACCAAACCCTTGCAGGGAACAGCAGCCCTGCAATTCCTGAGCCAGCTTTAACTGAATAATTAAAGCTAAATGTGATGGCCACATTCCCAGGTGACAGTGACCCACAGACAGGAAACACAAAGCAATGGAAATCCTGGCCATTCCACAGTGCCCCGATACCACAACCACTCCTGCAAGCCCATCCAGCAGCACCCACCCACCCCCAGCCCCGTGGCACGCCAGGATGGCACCACCACAACCTGGCACACTCCATTGCCCCATGGAACACACAGGAGCCCCCAGGGCTGCTCCTGCCTCCCCTGCCCTCCAGCTAAATCCACACCACAACACCTGGGAGCCCTCCTTAAGGCAATGTCTGTGCTGCCTTTAAATTCCCACAATGTGCTGAGAAATGCCTTCTTTCCCCTCCCCCTTAATTCCCAGCTCCTCGTCATCCTCCAGACAAAGCTCCATCCCAAGGCAGCCGAGCAGCATCGCACAGTCAATTTTATTTAAGCAGCACGTTGACATTTCCTCCAGCAGCTCCTTCACAAACCAAACACTGTTATGATGCTGTCACAGGGATTTACTCCTCTTGATTAATTATAGGAAAGACAATAGTAAAAAAATATACATAATTCCTGGGTTTATCTGACTTTCCCGTGGCTGTCGGAGCTGGGGGTCCCAGCGATGCCTGAGCACAGCCTGAGCTCACCTGGTGCTGCCATCGCTCCTTGTGCCACACAGAGCTGCTCCAAAGCTGCTTAGCAACAGATAAATCCCTGCATGGCTCCAGCACACGGATCACACCCTCGATACCTGGGACAAGGAGCATGGCCAGAGCCACCAGGGTGGACCAGCCTCACCAGGGATGTTGGTGCAGGGACCCCCATGCACCAAGAGCAGCTGGAAGAAGTTTAACAATGGGGAGAAGGCTGGGAAGCACCAACCATGTGTGCTTGGAGGTGGCAGGTCCTGTTCACTGCCAGGGAAGGTTTCCCAAAGGTGGTGACAGTCCCCACGAGATGCCCCAGGGGTGCTTGAGGGCCACAGTGTCACACCACAGGACAGTAGTAGTGGTGGCACCCCCAGAGCATGACCCTGGCTGGAGGATGCTCAGGGGTGCAGCCCCACCCTCCTCATGGGATGCCAGGTTGGGGCAGAGGAGCCACACAGAGCCAGGCCTCCCACACCAGACCTGTGTAGAGGGGTCCCAGTGGTGTGGAGGGGATCCCCCCGGCACCACAGCCCCTCCCCAAGGGCCATGGGCAGCCCAGCCACCAGCAGAGAAGAGCACGGGGCCACCCAGCTAAACATCTGCACCACCCTGGGCTCCCAGTTTGCCCAGTCACCAAGCACAGCTCCTCTCCCTCCCTACACACCCTCAATATCTGGTTTCATGCAGCCAGACCTGCTCCCCATCACCAGCACACCAGGTCCAAAGCAGAGAGCCCATCCTCACCTCCCGGGGTCGGAGAAGCAAATGCTGCTTCCCCCACGTGAACCTTATAAACCATCCCATCCTCACCCCCGGCCACTCCCCAGCTTAACGAGGACGTGGGAATTAATCAGCCCGGCCTTGGGGAACAGAGCCCTCCCCCCTTCCCAGACCTTGAGTGCTCTGCTGGGACCACCTGGAGCGATTCATTACCGTTATCACTAATTGGCAGTGACTGCAGTGACATCGTCACCGGGCTGTGGGCCGGAGGAGGGCACTGAGCCAGGGCCACCAGCGAGCTGGCAGAGGGTCACCGCTGCCAGCACAACCCCCGGGACCTGCGCGGCACACGGGGGGCCGTCTCGTTTTCATCTCCCAGAGAAAGCCCCTCAAAACTTAAGCACAAAAAGGGGCTCGGAAGCTGTGAGCCCCCTCACCCTCCCTCAGCAGTTTTCCTCCCCTCGCCCTTCCCCAGCCAGGGAATGTTTAACACCAGCACACACGTACCACGCGGCCACGGAGGCGCAGCAGAGTCCTGCAATGGGCTCCTGGGTTTCACCCTCGCTGCAAAGGGTGCTCCACTCGACAAACGGGCTTTTCCCCCATTCGGCACGTTTTTTGGCTCTCCTGGGGAGCCAGGGCAGCGCCAAGGCAAGTCTGCGAAGGAGGAGGAAGCAGAGGGGTGGGCTGGAGGCAGTGGCGAGCTGGGCACGGGGTTTGCACCCAGGTGGGGTGCTCTGAGGAGGGATGGTGGGCGTGGGGTGTCCCGGGAAGCCCACCCTGCAGGTGGCGAACGGCTCCCACCGCATCGCCTGGCGATGGCTCAGCGCCGCCGGAGCCTGCGGGGCTGCTGCGGGCGAGCAGCGCCCACCCAGCGCTGCCCTCCCGGGGGATCCCAGCAAAGTGCCCACGGGAGGCTACAGCAATTCCCAGCCCCAAGGCTCTACATCCTCTGCCCACGGAACCCCTGAAGCAGATCTCCTGAGTCAGCCCTCCAGCAGCAGCGAGCAGCTCGTTCAGTCCCTGCCGGATGAATGATGCATCATCAAATAAAGCCCAGTGTCACAACATTAACAATATTTATTTTCAGGCTAAGCTGCAGCCTGGGCTTTTGATACCAGTAATTAAAGCAAATGGTTCATCTGTTATCAGCTCTGCATCCCTGGAGCCAACTGTCCATGTTTTGAAGCCCTGTATTATCTTTTTTTCTTGCAGCCTCATGGGAAGGGGGGGATCAGGCTGATCCACACACACTTCGAGGATCCCGGGAGGAGTGTGGCATGGCCCGAGCCCAAAGCAGAGCCATGGCCGGGGCAGCCACCTTGCTCAAAGCTTTTTTAGTAGTGAAATGAAGGAGTGTTAATCGCACAAAGACAAATTGCTGCTCTAGCTTATACCTGAAACCAGAATTATTAGAAGGACAGCAGCAAGAGAAATAATCAGGTCCCTTTCCTGAAGGAGCCCGTCCCTGGGAGCTTCACCATCCAGCAGCGTCAGACTAATTTCCGAGGTGGCTGCTTTTGCCTCCCGGAGGTTCCAGGCTACTCCAGAAAGGTTTTTAATGCCTTTTGCACCACTTTTGTCCATCGTGGGAAAGGAGTGGCAAAGGCACCTGCCAAAGCCCTTGGACCAGCCCTGAGCTGGGCAGTGATGCTCTTCCAGAGCCTCAGCAGGGAGCAGAGCACCCCAAGTGCCCCCACAGCAGGGACAGGTCGTTCTCTGCATCCCGCAGCTCTCAGGTGCCTCGGAAGGGGCTCAGCCCCTGGTGCCACCGCAGCTCCTACTGGGCACACTCCGGGGACAGAGACGAGAGCCAATTTTGAGGGCTGGAACCCCCCCAAATGCTCAACACACTTCAAAGTTGTCCACACACCGGGAAGACCAGCAGCAGCACCCAGAGCCCCCCTGCACCCGCACCCACGGGCGATGCCACCCCTCACACCCCCAGGGAGCCCCCACCCGCACTCACGGGCGATGCAGCCCCACGGACACCCAGGGACCTGCTCCACCCTCTGCCACCGGCCACCCACGGGGCGGGGGGTGTCACCCACAGCCCGCACCGCTCCGGGATGCTGCAACTTTCCCCGGGCCGGGAGCGGGGCTGGGGGGAACGAGCATCCCTGCATCCGCATCCCGATCCCTGTCCCTGCGGAGCCTTGGGGCACCCCCGGCACCTCCTGCCCGCCCCGGGGGAGATGCGGTGAGACCCCCCCCGCTGCCGCTCTCCCGCTCCCACGCTTGGCTGCAGCGCGGGGGACCCCCGACCCCCCCCTTACCTGGGCCAGGGTCCCGGGGTGCCGGGGCCGCTCCCCGCGCACGGCCGGGCTGGCGCTGCGCGGCTCCGGCGGCAGCACTGCGGAGCAGCGCGGGGCGGTGCGAGGAGGGGACACGGGAGGGGACACGGCCGGGGCCGCCCCGCTCCGTGCCCGCCCCGGGGAGCCGCCCCCGCGCTCCCCCAGCCCCCTCTGGTACCCCCTCCCGCAGCCGGCTGGAGAGGGGGGCGGCAATGGGACCCCTCTGCTCATCCTCTCCCCCATCCCGCTCTCATTCTTCCTCCTGCTCCTCAACTCTTTCTCACCCTTTTCTTCCATACCCTCTCAAATCCCATCCCATCCTTCCCCAGCCTTGACCACTGCAGGGTGAGGGAGGGGATTCTCCCTCTCTTCTCTGCTCTGGTGAGATCCCAACCTGCAGTGCTGCATCCAGCTCTGGAAACCTCAGCACAGGAAGGACATGGAGCTCCTGGAGTAAGTCCAGAGAGACACGAGGGTGCTCCAAGGGCCGGATCCCCTCTGCTTTGGGGCCAGGCTGGGAGAGCTAGGAGTGTTCATCTGGAGAAGAGAAGGCTCCAGGGAGACCTGAGAGCCCCTTCCAGTGCTTAAAGAGGCTCCAGGAGAGCTGGAAAGGGACTTTGGACAAGGGATGGAGTGATAGGACAAGGGGGAATGGCTTCCCACTGCCAGGGGGCAAGATTAGATGGGATATTGGGAAGAAATTCTCCCCTGTGAGGGGGGTGAGACCCTGGCACAGATTGCCCAGAGCACCTGTGGCTGTCCTATCCCTGCAAGTGTCCAAGGCCAGGTTGGATGGGGCTTGGAGCAACCTGGGATAGTGGAAGGTGTCCCTGCCTATGGCAGGGGGTGGAACAGGATGAACTTTAAGATCCACACACCTGCAGCATTCCCCAAAAGCTGTGGGAGCTTCCTGTCGCTCCCAGTTCCCAGTTACTGGGGATCCCACAATCCTGGCAGCCCTAAAGATCATCCTAAACATCGCTCTGAGCCGCAGGCACAAGAGGGGCCCACACTATCTCCAGTCCAGACTTCGGAGGAAGGAAAATTCCTCATTCCTCCAGCTGGATTTCCCCACTTTTATATAAATGATTTTTACCCAGCTGCACATAAGCCTCTCATGAAAACCCTACTTTTTTGGGGATTTAAAAAGAAATCCCTAAAGAGACAGAAATCCTTGAAGGATGGAGCATGTTCTTGCCTTCAGCAAGGAAAGTATTCCACCACTCAAGGCTGAGTGTTGATTGGCATCATGTAAATGCTTGATGGACACCTCCTTCCCTTCCAGGCCCAACTCTGTGTTTTTATTTAGCAAAAGAATTCCTCACTTATGCAAAATAGTTGGAGAGAGAAGCACAGGACTTTCAAGCTAATCTGTCTTGACACCTTCCTCAGAGATTCATAAAAAGCAGCAGAAATTTGAAAATCAGATCTAAAACTGGCTTTCCAGAAAGGAAAAAAGCAACACCTGCCGTTCTCTGTTCTGAATACCTGGCACTTCCACACTCCTTTTTTTAGCCCATCTTCTAAAATAAAAGAGCCAGTTTGATTTTTTTGTGGAATTAGAAATCCATTTTGGCAGTCTGGCAGATCCTGCAGCAGATCAAAGCAGGAGGGGTTATTTATTTATTTCCTCCCTGGTTTATTTTTATGCTCACCAGCCCTCTGGTTCTCCAGGAATTGCTGTGTTTCCCTTGGGATCTGACTGAGCATGGGGTTACCCTCTCTGTTTGATCCCAGAGCCATCCTGACTGGACTTGGATGGAGCACATGGACCAGCAGATCCTGCCTGCATGCTCAAGTTCAAGTGCAGAGGCAAAAATCCTGGAAGTTATCTGGGCAGTGCAGCATTTCCCTGTCCAGGTTGGAGCTCGGGCTGGATGCAGCTCCATCCCATGGTACCAACAATCTTGGGTTTATCCCCATTGGCAGCTGATCTCAGTGGGAATAACTGAGGAATAAAACCAAGTTCATGGCTACAGACAGCCCTGGGGGTCAAATCAGCACCCGCTGCAGACCTGGAGGCTCTGCCTCACCTCCAGCTGACTCCTGGGCTTGGATGCAGCCAGTGCTGGGGATGGAGGAGACGATGGAGCTGGGGAGGGAGCCAAGGGTTGAGCCAAGGATGGAGCCAGGGATGGAGACATGGATGAGGCTGAGGATGGAGCCAGTGATAGAGCTGGGGATGGAGCCAAGGATGGATCTGGGGGCAGAGATGTGGATGAGGCTGGGAATGAATTCAGGGATGGAGCCAAGGATTGAGCCAAGGATGGAGCTGGGGATGGCATCACAGATGAGGCGGGGGATGGAGCTGAGATGGAGCCAAGGATGGAGCCAGGGACAAGGCTGGGAATGGAGCAATCCCCCCAGGGCAGCACTGGCAATGAAACACAAGTACTGCTAACTCAGCACTGTCAACCCTGCACCTCTGATCAGATGCTCTGGGAGGAAACCTCTCCCCTCATTTACAGCACAATTAGTCACATCTAATTGGAGCACAGGACAGGAGACAGGGAGCAATGAGCCAGTACCAGGCCTGGATTATCCCTCTGGTACCTGCAGAGTCGGGCAGTCCAATGGAAAAAGGAATATGAGCTTTATAAAACAATTCTTCCTCTACGTTTTTAATTAAGATTAAAAGTGGTCCAGTGGAAATCTATAAACTCTCAGAGCTCCAGCACACAAAAACTCTGAATAACAGCTGACTCTGATACAGGGGAAAATAAATCAGGAGCACGTCAGGCCCTCCCCACACAGCTCCAAGCACGGGTGCATGGAGTTAAATTAAAAGGATTTATGGCAGCTTGAATGCCCAGGGGAGCATTTTTCCACTCCTGTAAATCACTTAAAGCTGAGCTGCTCCACCCCAAGCTGGCCTGGCCACAGATCCCAACGGATGCCCCCAGGAGCATCCTGGGATGAGACAGCAGGAATCGTGTGTGGCTGCACCGTAACTCAGCACGTGCGGCCCATCACACCCCACCCAAGGGATTTAGGGTGACTTAGTTATTTGACATGTGAAAGAGATGGGAAAGGACTCACCACCCACCACCCAAAATCCATAAACCGCTGCCCAGAGCAGCTCCTCGCTGGGGATTATGCTTTGGAAAAGAGGTGGAGGAGAAAAGAAGGAGAGGAGGATGGAGAAGGGATGATGGGCACCAGCCTGAGCTTTCTGAGCAGCAGGACAGAGCCTGGCAGCTGAATCCAGGGGGGTTGGGGACCTACTTTTTCAAGGAGAGAAAACCCCAAGCCAATATTTTGGCTGGAGCAGCAGAAAACCATCCCTCAGACTCTCCCTCAGCACCTGCCAGGATGCAGCCGGATCCACATCGTTTCATTAACACCTTGAGCCCCTCCAGCTCACCCTCCTGCCAGCTCTGAAAATAACAAACAAGGCACAAACCAGAGGAGACAGCCTTGATTAATCCCCCCCGTTGAAGTGCTGGGTTTAAAAAAAAGACATGGAAGAGGAAAGGAAAGGAAATTTCCCCCCTTGTCACTTGATTCAGGTGCTGGGATGTCACAGGGAAAACAGCTGCTCCAAGGGCTGGTGAAGGGATGGAGGAGGAACAGCACCTTGTGAGGATGCCAGGACATTTCTGACCACCCACGGTGTGTCATCCCTCTGGTCCCATCCCTGCCAGAGATACCAAAAAGCATCCGCAGCAAGGGGGCTTCAGCATCCCGACCCACTCTCACCCATCCCAGGTGAAAACCCCCCTCCTCAGCCCACTTCCCTCCTCACCCCAGAGACAGAAAATCCCACAGGGATCCCAAATCCCTCAGGAGATCCCCCATGTCCCATTCCTGTGGTGGCACAGGCAGGATCTGGCCCAGCAGGGTCCCCGCAGCGCCGCAGAGCCCCGAGCTCAGCAGGCCCAGCTCGCTCATGTCGGCAGCTCATTACACTCTTTTAATAAGATATGTGCTAGTTTTACATTCATTTCTCATTCCTGATAACGTTCTGTCCTATATAACTGCACTATTATCCTTGGTGAGGTGAGGGGAAGAATATATTTCCTAAAAGACTGCCTGCATTAATTTTGCAGTAAGTGCCATAAAAGATTTAATCTGCAGCTCCTCTTTTGTTAATGGGATTAGTATAACTTATTTACTGATTTAATTAATTGGCATGCCTTCCACTCAGCTGAACACGGTGTTTCACAAACTTACTGGTTCCAGCTGAGGAGAACTGGGTGTCGTTTCATTTTGGAGGCTGCGGAGAGCACGTACCTGTGAGCCTTAAATAATTAAAATGATTTCCGACAGCACATTAAAAAGAGGGGAGGAAGGAGCTTTATCTTCTCTCCTACCCGTGAATGTGGAGAATCATCTGTGCTACACCATTGCTGATATATATTCAATACCAGTTGTCACTGGTGACACCCTCCAGCGCCGTGAGGGACCCGCAGAGATGGTTGGAGGGACCTCCTTCATCCCACCCGCTGCCTCCTCACAAACACAGGGATTTATTCATTTATCCATCTCTCATCCCTCTAAAGCCCAGGGTGATGGCACTGGGGTGCGCATGGGAGGGTCCTGAGCTGTCACCCCAGGACTGGGGGAGCAGCACCCCCCGACACCTCTTGCATGGCTTTATTTAGGTCACCCTGTGCTCGGCAGCCCCGCTCGCAGCGGGGGAGGTTGGACTTCACACTCTTGCTCTCGGAGCTGCTTTTCTAGGTCACCAACCCACAGCGGTGTATTAAAATAGAGCCTCTCCCCTCCCCATCCCCACGGCCGTAGGCTGCTGCGGTGCCCGGGCTGTGCCAGCCGCCAGCCGGAGGGGAAGGGGTGTGACAGGGCGGCTGCGATCCCTGCTCCTCCACGGGAACGCTGCGGGGGGGGCAACGCTGCGCCCCCAGAACAACCAGCTCCGAGGGCATTTGGGGTGGGCACGGCAAAATGACCCCATGCCTGGGGACATATGGATCCGGCAGCCCCACTCCTGGCTCCCTGTCCAGGCAAATCCCAGCCCGGACAGGGAGTCCTGGAGGGGGCAGAGGGTCCAGGCGCTGTGATTTGGGTCCCCAGCCCAGCACCCCTCGCATCCACGGGACA